ATGATCTTTAAGCTGGTCAAATTGTATCGAAATAATTAATTAGATATCAGATTTAGTTATCAATCTCTCCCTTAATCGTCAATTCCAAATTTGTGATTCTGGGTGACTTAGTAGCAAAATTTGGGGATATTTTACTCCACTAAATCTCGTCCTGTCCACTGAATGCATCCTGACCACTGATGCTGATTGTTTTGATTTATTTTTGTTTGATTTTTTTTTCAATCCATATCAACTATAATGAAAAATTATTTGTCAGTTACGAACAAAAGAAAAATCAATAACTTTAGTAGGTAAAATTAGACTGTATTGAATTCTTTGATGCTCAAGATGTTTACCAATGGCGTGAAAAAGAAAGAGTTATTTTTCAATATAAAAAAGTTGACTTAAAAGGAACAGGATGGTATCAGTGTGTACGGCGATTACAAAATTGTGTATTATTAATAAATTGTTAAGATTATAATTTAATAGTGTTTCCAAATTATAGAAATGAATATGGTGCGTCTAATTAGTAAAACGGAATCTTCTCTGCTTTCAAGGTGCAAAATAAAACAATTTAAAAAAATACTAACGTTATTAAACAACCTGAGCATAAATAAATTTATTAACATTCCATCAATCCAGAGCATCAATCCATTTATTCCATGAAATATTAAGATAGCTCCCCAGTCAGAAATGTTACAGACATTGCAAATAAACCAAAGACGACACATCCACTGGAAACAATAGCCTTCAAGAAGAGAGGATAAAGCTAACAAACCAGTAGGATGATTGCATCGGATGATGAGAGAAAACAAAAAGTAAAAGAAATGACAATGGCTAGAGGACAACGACTGGAGGCTCCATGGTGTGTTACTGGAACGGCTCAATGGACAGTCGGGCCAATGGACTCCCTGGATAAAAGGACATTCGAATCCTTCAGGAACTCTTTGTTCTCGCTGACCACACATCCGCTGTCTGGATCAACAACCATGGCTCAATCTTCATACCTTTTAAGTACTTAGGTATTAGAGTATAATTAGTAGTTTGAGAAAGGTATATTAATGTTTTTCTATGGAAGTTATACATATTTTTATTTTCAATTTGTATTCGTTATTGAAGTATTACAAATTTTTCTGATGCATATATGACAAAATAATTAACGTTAAAGAAAAGTGGTGGGGACGGTGTGACGTCACGAATGTGTTGTAAATGCATATTAATACTGTAGAGCTGAGAAGAACTTTGATAGCTATAAGAATCACACTACAGTGAACAGACCGTACCTCCATTCTCCACTATAACTCCGAGATGAACTGTTATTTCAAGTTTTAATTAATTTGAACCTTTTTTCGTTATTTAAAAAGTGTAATCTCAATATTATATACGTCTTTAATCATTTGAATTCTATTGCAGCCCAAATTTACGTATTTTTTCCCATGAAAGTACCCCATTATAATTTTAATTTTTGTACATATTATTACTTTTGGGAACGTATATTCTGTATATTGTCTAAATCTTATTAATGTAGTTTTTGACCAGCAATATTTTTTGTTTATTTGAACATATCAGTTGTTCTTAAAAGAGCTAGTCCTAAAATAAAGTTTGTTTTCTATTCTATTCTACGGTCCAGCCTCTCAAGTGGATGTTTTGGTCATTCGTTAGGTAACTGAAAAAACCAGGCGGTCGAGCACGGATGCTTACCACATTACCACAATGTACCACCGTTAATCAAGGAACAATGTGTCATTATCAAGTACTCAACTTAAGATTATAGAACATTACGTATAAACTATATTTAAAAAAAAAACATAGCATTTCTGTAAAACAGAGAAGAAATTTAAATTATCTTAAAAACAAAGTAGTGTAAATCTAGTAACTGTTACTTTGGCAGCTTGAAACTTTTCCTTTTCAATCCCCTTTCCTTTTTTTTTTTTTTATATATTCGACAGTTCCTGCATAAATTAATTAGTTAATATTAAAGACTTTTCGAAATTCTTGACAACAATCAATGAAATTCTATTTAACTATGGCAGTTTTTTTTTTCCACAAATCTATTTTAATAATCGAAGTTTTTATACAAAAAATACGTTTATTCGAGAAAAATGGTTTGCATATATGAAGTGTTTGAACAATCTTCCACCAATAGATGAGTTTATCATACTAAGATCTCTTGGTAATATTTTTTTTTTGTCTCTTATGAATTTATTTTCCTCAACTGGCATTTAACACTGTTTAAGATATTATTTCAATACGAATCTAGTCGAATTTATTTGTATGTATTTTTTTTTTACAGTATATACGTATAAACAACAAAATATGATTTGTATTGGTTTGGATTACAAAAAATAAAAATTTATATTCGTTTTTTGAATTCTACGTACACTGATCTTGAAACGTAAAACCTCAAACTTTGAGAGGGGGTTAAGTTTTTGAATTTTTTGGTCGATCACAATGGTTCATTATTGAAAACAATAAACCAAAATACGCAATAAATGTATTACAATTTTCAATGTGTATTTCGGATTCAAGAACAGTGATAAATCGTTCTAAATCCATGGATTTTGGCTGATCAGAGTCAGCAGGCGCACGAGGAACTATATTACTTTGCCCAAAACAGACCGCCCATGGACCAAAACTCTACTGACATCCTGGTAAACCACACTCCGATTCCCGATTTAAGTATGGGTAGAGTTATCAGTCCTATGCCCGGTCGTTATGAGTTGTCTCCAGCAGGCAACCTGACGGGCTCACGTAGTAGGGTAGGGAGGGGGAGAAATTTCGTTTAGTGCGGCTCTCCCTAGTGGACAGTCACTCATCCAAGTACTGACCCACACTCTCGGCAATGCTTGACTACCAATTGCAATTGCAAGCGCCATAGCCCGCACGGCAAACGAGGCCCACAAAACATGTTTAGTAATATAAGATTAATAGGGTATATATATATATATCATATATTTATATAGATTAATAGTAAATATGGTAATCAGGGATCTATTATTTATAAAAATTATACTCCATTACTTATACTGTAATATTTCAATTTTTATATCTCACCACACCTATAAATTTATCTTCGATATAAAATTTGACAGTTTTTTAATTTTATTTTACGGAGTATTAATACAGTCTGCCACATTGAAGGGTATTGGTACTGAGACTACATATACATACTAGGGGTATAGTATGTGATAAAATTTACAGTAAAAAAAAATCACTAAAACGAAGAACCTTTCAGACCTCGTGCAAGAACTTTAAATATATTCTTAGAACCTGGCTTGATTACGAAACTTATTTGTATGCTATCAGCGTGCATTTGAAGAGAGTTAAAAAGTTTAGTCTTTCAGTCTTTCTAAAAATCCAGTGAGAAAGTTGTGCTCAGAAAAATATAACCTCCACCTATCCGGATACAACAAACATATACCCGAATTATCCGGAATATTTCTTTATTATTATTTTAATTCTGATAATTTTAAATCATTTATACATTTTCTATTTTATTTAATCTAGGATAACCATACTATTCCATCTTTGAGAATGTTTGATTATGCATAGAAAATAATATATAATATCCTCTATTATTCATAGAAACTTAACAAACACTATGTAATAACTGATTTATTTATATTTAAAATTTTTTTTCTAAGCCTTGTACACTAAGGCGGAATGTAAAAAAAACTTTTCTTCTTTGGACTACTTTCTAATATTATTCAAAAGTTGCCTTATTATGTCAACAAATACACTACGAAATTTGGTTGTTCTACATTTATATCTTTAGGTTCGGCAAGATGTTTAAAAATATGGTTTTCATACAAAAAATTTGCATTTCCTCTATTTTAGTTTTAAACTTTTTTTATCAAATATCGTTTTTAAGAACTTTCTGTAGACTCTCATATACTACAATAACAATTATTTGAAGCGTAGGTATTTTAATTGATACGTTGATTTTTCAAAAAATTAATACAAATTTGCTTTTTACTCAAAAATCCAAATGTAAATTCTGAGTTGACTACTTATCTTTTAAATATTAATTTAGATATTATAACTCTTTTTTTTTTTACTTCTCAATTTTATTGAACGATGATTGAATGAATTGTTTGCTTTAAAAGTGATTTTAGACCGGAAATAAAATTAAAATTTCGTCATTAACAGTTAATCAATTCAATAATGATGAATATTGAATCGAGAGGACGTTTTCAACCAAAACATCATCCTAGCATTGCAGTTTGGCAGTACGTTGGTTTTCAACCATTAGGAGCTGACCAGTACAGATTTCATGGTTTATGGTGACACGGTTAAGTTTCTTGAACAAAGCCAGGATTGTACTCGACATATTTTTCGGCAATGTGTGTCAAAGTAAACTTAGATACCTTGCAACTTTACTTCGTATTAAAAAATTGAAGAATGAATTATTACTTACATAATTTTAATTCCATATATGAAATGTTCCGTCATTAATGGGAAATATTTAATGAAGTATTCGTGAACCTCATGACAAAAAAAAAAAGATTACAAGATCATCTCTCTAAAAGTGTAATGTAATTGAGAAGTCTCTTATGAGTTCAATCAATTTTAAACTTGTCATGGGTCACCCTGATATTCTTACTAAAAAAACAAAAAAAAAAAGAAAAAACGAAACAATCACATTAACAATAACACAATAGGGAAATGGCGGGATTGGTGCCAATTTTTGAAGAATAGTATGATTTCTGGACACAAGGAGCGTTGCTATATTTTGTTCAAAAATCTTCTACGTGTTGGACCAATTAGGTCTCGCGACCTAACGAAGCTCGTTTACACGTTTAAGTTTCTCGTCCAAAGTGAGTTCATGTAAGAAACTGAACCGTGTAAAAGGCCCTGAAGACAATTTTATTTGTGCCTATCTTCGATTGAAAACTGATGAAGGTTAGATAAACATTAATGCTTCTCATTAATTAACTATACAGTCAAATACATTCCATTATAATAAAATAATAATACCAAATCCACAACAAAGATAAGAAACAAAAAACTACTCCACTTACCTTATTGTCAGTTGGAAATAAAGTTAGGTGTTTGTTTTTCTTCTTCTTGTTGAACAAATGGATTTTCCCAGATTTACTTGAAGTGCATTGACCCATATAGATCTCGTTTACTGACCGACGCACTCACTGAAAAAAAAAAATAATCATCATGAAAGTTCCGTATTCACAAAATTATTCACAAACTACTTTAACAACTTATTGATTCGTGTACTTTATTGTCTTGACGGAATTGCTTGGAATACTTTTGATTGTTTTTGCGATGTCCATTGGTTGCATCTCTTGAAAAGATAAAATTATATGATAAGGAAATAGATAAATTATAATCCAATGGCGTTACGGAATAAGGAAAGTAATGTGAAGTACTTGATGTGGGCCATTTATGAACTAGTTCAACAGCTATATATTTATTGAAAAAAACAAAACAAAAAAAAAATTATAGCAAACGCAGTTCATCATTTTGAGTTTTTTTTTGTGTCGGTAATTTTTTCTATACTTATAAAAGAAAAATAGAGAATTTCACTTAGAAATAATGATTTCTTATAAGAGGAATAATAGATGAAAATATTATTATTTTAATTAAATTAATTTAATAATTATGAAATAAAAATAATTTGATATTAAAAACAAAACTTTTTTCTGTTATTCAGTTTGTTTTTATCTTCTCGATAAGATAAAAAAAAACAGTTAAAAAGATTTTAGGCATCCAATGATACTTCTTTAAAATCAATTTATTTTTGTCTATTATATCATCAATTAAGCTACAAGTTTCAAATGATGAAGTGTTTCCTTTTTCTTATTTTTTTTTTTTAGTGTCGAGAGAATCTTTTTTATTTGAATTTTATTTCTTATTGATTTTAATAGACCATTTGTTACCCATCGGTTCGAGTTTTCAATTGTTATTTGTTTTCTCGTATGTGGATCCCACACATGCACTGATCGAGAATCGTGATAAGCGTATCACAAGCAAGGTCAACATTTCGCTGATTCCAGTACTGTCTCCTCACGTATTCATAGTCAATATATGATTTTTTATTTTCAGAATCAACCTATTCAATAATTTTGATTAGCCCTGTTATTTATAACTTATATAAGTTTAGATTAAAATGATTAGTTAATTTTCAAATTAAAAAATCCATGATAATAACCTTCGATAGTCCGAAATATCGTAATGTGCACGCACAAACTAGTTAATTACTTGGTTCTTTAAAAATCGAAGTTTTATCGAGTTTTTTTTATATATATCCAAAAAGTATGTCACTAAGCAGGGGACAAATCCAGATCTAGACGTCAAACTATGATGAATAATCATGAACCACAAACGTCTGGATGGAAACATTTAGATTGGCTCGTGAAAGTTTGCCATTTGCGACCAACCCGAGAGATTTGTAGGTTCGCCAAGCGTTTGTAAACAAAAGCGTTCAACAAGCGTCTGTATGCATTAGAATGTTTAGCCAAGAAATTCCTCCACCTTTACGACTATGTCCCTCTTTGAATAAACTCTGTTGCAGCTTATCCACTGGTTTATTCCAGACTGATCGGAAGGTCATGAAACCTCCTTAAAGTTCAATAACCTTTTAAAATATATTATGAACTTACCAAACTATATATAAATATATATTTTTATGCTTGACAAAAAACTTTGGTCCATAGATGAAGTCAAACGATGGTTTATTTTAAGATGATTACCTTTATAATTAAAACTTGTTTTGAAAACGTTGTCTGATGTAAATTTAATGCAAGAAGAAGAAAGTCTAAAAGAGTAAAATAAGGTAAATTAATTATTTGTAGGGTAACTCATTTTTTTTGTTATTAATAATTTATCCCTATTGGAAAAACTCAAAAATGGGGATGTTAATATCGAAAAAATAATGATATGAATAATTTCGATATATTATTTAATACATCAAAAATATAATCTGATATATCGATATATCAATAAAAACATCGATATTTCTAGCTTCGATCTTTAGTCTTTAAAAGAACGGGAATAGTGAAGTATTAGATTTGTAATTGCATTAATAGCAACAAATAAATATTAGTCCGAGGTGTGGACCCCTTTTTGTCAAATTATTAACACCCGCCTGAAACTTCGTGAATAGTTTAATCTCATCGTAACCTACAACTATTTTATATTCCAAAACTCTTGGAATTTTGACGTTTTCAATCTGGAGATCGGCAAACTTTGTCTGTTTTATTAGGTACTAAAAACTCGTAAATACCCATTTGCTTTCCTCTTGGATAGTAAGCTAGTTTGACCACGAAATCGAGAAAAAATGTGTTCTACAAAAATATTGGGCCGTTTGGCCTAAATAACCTCCTTATTGACATGTTGCCGGTGTAGGTCACGCCTTTTTTCTCGATTTTGTGCTCAAATTATGTTACGATTCAAATGGAAAGCAAATGGGTATTTACAAGTCTTAGTATGTAATTAAATAGACATATTGCCCTCCTCCCTCCAGATTGAAAACGCCCCAATTCCAAATATACTTGTAGTTTATTAAGTTATTAAGTTATTTTAGTAGTTATTATACTGCTTAACACAAAAAAAGTCTGCCAAGTAAGGCCAGTATAGCTTCCTCACCGTTTCCGTTGTATATTACAAGGTATACAATTATGAGAATAAAATCTCTGAGAGAAGCAGAATCGGAATAGCCGATTACAGTTACCCTTCAACATTCAACAACAGTGGGTTGTATTTGAATATTCCATACTTGATTATGCTTAATAAAAAAATAAATAAACATGCATACTGAACAAGAATTTCAATACTGTTAGTTCAAAAGGTCTTATGTATAAATTTATTTATTGTTTTGCAAGAGTGCATAAAAACGCAATATTTCTTTATGCTTTATTAGAATAATTTCATATTTTATTTTCATCTGCTATTTTCCATAGTAGCAGACTACTTATATCAGTTGCAGACTACAAAATATCACCTTTAATACACATAGAATTAAAGTTGAAAATTATTACATACGAACTTATGCTCTAATAATAGTATATACATTACCGAATCAAGATTTAATTTTGGAGGAGGGGCTTCAGCACGAAAGATTTATATATATATATATATATATATATATATATATATATATATATATATAATAATTAATTTGAAAAAAACCACTGCAAATTATTTCTCTTTGATATATTATTTCCAAACAATTATACATATAAAGTAACATTAAATTCCTAGTTATAAAGAAAAATAAATAAAAGGTGATTCTAATTATTGGACTAAAATTTTTTTTAATCATTAGTAATATGCTAAAAAAAATAGCATTACTTCAGTAACACATTCAGAAATAAAAAAAAAAGATAAACCTTTTGCAATAGCACATCTAAAAAAAACTAGGGACCATATCTTTGCTGATAATTGTCCGATTTTGACGATTTTTTTTTTTTTTTTTAGGAAATTCCGTAAACTTCTAAAAAACCATACAATATTGATATAAATGTGCATACTTCTTGAGTTATTCGGAGTTTAATTTTACCATCCCTCGTAAGTTCGGTCTAGTAGTTTCAGAAAAAATGCGCGGATGGCGGATTAGTAGTGCACATATAAGAGAAAGTGTTGGACACAATTCAATGAAATTAACACTACATTATTTTTTCACCAAAGTCTACCTTTTATCTAACTTTGAGCAAAATCGAACAAGCCCTTTCTGAAATATTGGCATATCTAAAAATATACGTTTGCGCGTGCGTAAGCGGAAGTGCTGGATGGAATTTGATAAAATTGATATGGGACCATCTAGGCACCAATCAGCATAATACCTGAAAATATCATGAAGATTGGATGAACGGTACTAGGTGATATAACCGTCACATCGATTTGACTACAGACAGACAGACAGACACCGTACCAAATTTGATCCTTGATGTCTGAAACGTAAATCGCGAGTGAAAATTTTCGATTCTGAGCAAAAAATTTTTTTTAATCTCTCGCACGAACACAATGCTTCCCTACCTTCGGTAGTGAGGAAGCAAAAGGATTAAGAATATTACAGGTTTTGTTGATTGGAATTTTACAAACATATCCTTAATTTATTTTATGACTCTTTTTGAGATTTTACTTTTTTATATTATAATAATTATCTTCTTAATTACGATTATACAAAAATAGAAACATATATTTTTAATTTTTACTAGCGATACATATATTTCTTCCAAACTAGCGATATATATATATATATATATATATATATATATATATATATATATATATATATATATATATATATATATATATATATAAATACATACATACATATGTGTTGCAAGAATGTATTGAACAGAAGCATGGCAGTCCCGCTGGACACCAGAAAACCAGTTATCCTTCTTCCCAAGGTCATGGAACAGCAATTCGACATTATCATGTTATTTATCACTTTTTTTTTATTTTTAATTCTCATAATTCCTACTCTCCTTCCAGCTCCAGCTTCCATGTACCTTTCCGCAGACCCGAATATCGTAAAAAAAATTCAAAATGGTTTTATTTATTTATTTTATTTTATGAAAATAATGTAAAAATATATTTGTTACATTCAGTATCAGACATCTTTAAGGAAGTTTTACCATATTGTCGAAACATTTTACAAGTTTTACCGGAGGATAAGATCAGATCGTTTGTTGTTGATAGAGGTCAATCATTATATTTAAGATGTTAAATATTTTTTTACCTTTTTAATTTACTTAATATGACTATACTCGAAAAATATTAAATATATTTAAATAAATATCAATAAAATTGGGCTTACGTTAGTCTGCTTCTGACGCAGAGATAAAGATAGACAAGGACTGTGGTTTAAAAAATATACAGAACAAATACGAAATTATTTATTATTTTTAATTTATGACCCTGGAAAGATTCCGAGGTATCGAGATCCTTCTTGATTTCATATAATTAATTATAATAATCAAATTAATTAATTTTATACTATAATGACCAAAATTAATTAAGTTTATATTATAATTTAAATTTAATTATAATTTTTATATTAATTAAATATAATTAAGTCTCAATATAAAACAGGACTAACACTTCAGTGTGATATCACGAAGCGATAGTCTGTAAATCGGCCACGTCACCATGTTGAACAGTTGTTTTGAATTTAGCTCTTAAT